TGCCATAGGTTCACGTCAATGGTGTCCAACCTCTTCGTGCCTGGTTACTGGGCCACGAGCATCCGCAGCTGGCGGTCGTACTCTAGCCACGCGCTTGGGAAGAACTGGCGGTTAGCAGTCAGGATCAACTGCTGGTACGCAATCAGTTCAGCAGTTCAGCAGTGCGGTGTAGGGCAGCAGCCGTGATAGCAGACATGTATGTGGTCCATGCATCGAGCCGGGTAGCTACATGTATAATTATCGTGAACCTTGCGACGCACCTGCTTCGCGTCATCCGACTCAACGATATTAAGCTGGCTATCGCTATTCGGGCTGTGCACCAGCCGGAATGTTGGGCCGGAAGTGTGCAAGAATTTCAGGCAACAAACTTGAAAAATCTAGGAATTCCCTCGCTCTTGCACAGCCTTGGGCACAGCTGGTGCAGGTGGCTGATCGGGTGGGTCACAGGAGCTTGGCATGGCGTAGTGGCGGTAGCAGCCGCATTGCCTTGGCCTTGGGTGAGGAGCGGCACAATGCTCTCCGATAATTATATTATGGCGGCCGACAAAGCCGACTACACCTCGTCCCGTACGAGAGCGCAGAGATCCGTTGAGCCCGCGTCACCTAACCTGGCGGAGGAGGCATTGGTGCAAGTCGGGCTTCTGGGCTCGCGAGCCTTGTCCGCACTGTCTTGTTGATAGTTCTCCTGGCCGGAGCAAACTAAGCTTCTGCTGGACTCACTTGCAGCCCCTGAATTAAGTTGCCTCTCCTATGATTTTAAATCTGCCCCTTTGCAAGTGTCCCAAACAGCTTTTGCTGATGACTTAGGCCTCCATAGCAAATCTAGTGCAGGTTGTCAAAAACTCGTTGCCGTCATGGAGGACTTTCTCTCATGTACCCAATGTTTGCAGGCAGCGCCGCACAAATCCAAAAGCAGTGCAGCAAAGCTTGTAGATGGCCGGTACAAACCTTACGATCCCTGCCTGACGATGTCAGGGAGGACGATCGCTTTCATTGACACCGAAGAGTTCAAGTTCCTGGGGCGAAGGCTGCATGCTGATTGCTCTGAACAGTCCCAGCGGTAAGACATTCGTCAACTCACTTTATCTCTCATGCAAAAAGTAGATGGCTCTTGGCTTCAAGACCACCACAAGCTATGGCTTTACCACCATCTTGTAGTGCCCAAGCTTTCTTGGTCTTTCCAGTTTCTTGAACTCACACAAGGTTTTGTACGTGAACTGCACTTTATGTGTTTACCATTTCTGAAGAAATGGTCAGGCCTACCTCGATGCGCAAACTCTGCCAGTCTTTTTATTGGCAGTCGCACACGCTTTGGCTTACGCCTCCACTACCTTCCTACGGTGTGGAAAAAGTGCCAGTCCATCAAATGGCACATTCTTCGATCGAGTGGGGACGCGCGCATGAGGGCGCTGTTCACTCTGCGTCGAAGTAAGGGTGCGAAGCTGACGAAGCGATATGCGGCGACAATAGAGCTGAAATGTGCAGAGACATCAGTAGGTTCAGGGACTCTCCGTCTACCGTCATCTTCAAGTCATCGGGCAGGGTTGGGTGCTCGTGTTCGTAAGCAGCATTCCAAACCCCCGAGGAAGGATCTCCTTCAAATATTTGAGGAAATCAACGCGCAGGAGCAGTGAAGACTCTTCAGGTGCAAGGCAAGTGGTTGGAATGGACATCGGTGATGTGGCAGGACCACTCGTGGAAATCCCTTTTCTAGGGTGGTACTGGTAAGGATTTGAAATTTCTTCTCGCATCAACCCTTGACGTGCTACCTTCTCCGACGAACCTACGCCGTTGGGGAAACAAATGAGCTTGACTTCATCTCGTTTTGCAAGGCAGGAGAGAAGCCAGTTCGCGTTCAGCCCAGACGAAAGTTGATTACGACTGATCTCCTGTCGGCGGCCTCAGACTGGAAAATTCTTGTCGACTCAGTTAGTGCAAAGATTTCTTCCCTAGCTGTGTTGCACTTACCACCCTAAGGCCAGATATAGTTCTGTACTCTACGAGTCGTAGGATTGTATTCTGGATGGAGGTGACAGTTTGTGCTGAGGACAGATTCAGTGTCAGTAACTCGCGGAAGGACAGGCGGTATGCGGATCTGGCCGATCAATGCCGAGCAAACGGGTGGGAGGTCGTTTCTTTTTCGGTTGAGGTAGTGGTGCTTTTCATCCCGGACTCTCTTCGGAGGGTTCTGAAAGCGCTTGGGTTTTCTAATCGAAGAATAAAATTTATTTGTAATTTGTGCAGTAAGACGTCTCTGCGAAGCAGCTACATCATCTCGTTGCGACGTCAACAAAAACACTGGTCGGAAGATCCACTTTTCTGAGGTACTGTATGTGGGGCTCCGTTTATTGAGGTGCGTCGAAATTTATTCACTTTATCTTATTATTTCTTTTCTATAATTTCCCCATATGAGTTCCTATCAGTTGCTGTGAATACCTCGAGCGTTGAACCGGGTTCTTAATCCACCATACCCAGTTCGCAAGGCTGGGCGGGGTTGTAAGCAGGCTGTCATTTCATCTTTTCTTATTATTTCTTATTATTTCTGCTTTTCATCTACTTCCTCCGCGTCATTAAAATTGTCGCTTCCCAGAGCGATTTTTCGAATTTATTTTGTCCACTCGAAGGGCAAAGAAATCAGCTAGAAGTTGAGGCAGAGCATTGTCGACGGACCAAGTTTTAGTTTGTGGCCTCCCGCTTCGCTGCACGTGCAGCTTACAATGTAGGTCGACCTCTTCCAGAGTTTGAGGCATACCCTTCAGCACTCAACAATACGCTGAAGACGCGCGTTCAAAGTCAGGTCAAGAAACTTCGTTTTCAAGCGATCCATGCCTCCAGGTGGAAGGCGATGAAAGCAAGCTAGCATTTTTCAAGTACACTGTAACGACCTTCCAGCGGGATAGGGTAAGCAGTTCCGCACCTTCTTTCCTTGGCAAGCGCTTCGCTTATTTTGTCGGTGTTTGCAGACCTGCTACCTTCGCAGCAACATGCGCCACAAGTAGCGCATTATAGGAATTTGAGACCACTTTGTTCTTGCCATCGTCAACTTCAGCATTTCGTATTCAGGAGAGACACCAGGATTCTTATTCCCGAGCTTGCAGTCTTGATAAAATGCCCACGCGAACGATGTGGGACGGCACGAACTCCAGAAAACGAAATGCGCTCTGGGACGGAATAGTGCGGAGCGCGATGAATTTGCTTGGTTCGGAAGAGAGCTCCGACAAAGTCAGAGACCACCACGGCTTCAGTAACAAGTAGACATTGCGCAGGAAGGGTCGCACCAGTGTTTGAACACAGAAAACAGTGATTCCGACAGTCTGACTAAGACGAGCCAAGTCACAAATATTGTGATGTGCGAAGCGACAATTTTAATGACGCGGAGGAAGTAATTACAAAAATTCTGCGCATTTTTTCTCCATCTGCGCATAAAATCTAGACTGACAACCTGCTTGTTAAATCATGCACCTGCTTTCAGGCGTAAAAACATGTTGTAGAGGTCTCAGTCCTCATTTGTTAGACTTACCTGTCTTAATAAATGTATCTTTCTCTCGCTCTCTCTCTCTCTCTCTCTATCCACACTATACTTTCGCTATTTTCTTTTTTTTGTTTCAATCTATTTCGTTTCTCTTCTTCTTCTCCCGATTTTCTGATGCGTGAAGTAGGTGCGGATGCCGAGGATATTGGTCGGCGAAGCCTGCAGCACCCCTTCACCACCGATGCGTTGCATTTTCAGCCCCATTCAGTCAACGTCTTGTTAGTCTTTTGTTTCGTCATTTCCTTCTTCTTTCTTGTTTTACGAATTGGGTGCGTGGTTTCAAGTAAAAAATAAATAAATAAATAAAAAGCACGGACACTGCACCAGTCACACTCCGCAACAGTTAGAAGTTGCTACCGACAAGCCTTGTTTCTTTACTATTATGATGAGGGGAAATCATCAGAGAAGAGGCAGATATTGAATGAAATGGATGAACTACAAGTAAATGATTATTGTTTTACAGTAGATATTAGCGCAATGTGTGTATATTCAACTAACTCACATGTGTGACAAATCTACATGAATAGAATAGTGTAGAACGGAGGTGTTATGAACCCTACCAACACAACTATCACAGGTGCTAAGTCAAGCACAAGGACAAAGAAAGGAACACAGAGTAGGTTCCGCTTAAAACTAAACGTCAGAAAGTATACTTAGGTGGTGACAAAGATATGTGTAAAGAAGAAGCCCAGTGCCAGTGTACAAAATCATTTTGGACGTCTAACATCACATTTGATTTGAAAGCTTCCAACTGCACAAGGTCATTATGCATGTATTTGGAACGAAACAAAGCTTGTCACGAGCAACTTTTAGCTGTTGGTGAGTGTGACTGGTGCAGTGTTCGTGCCTGCTGTTGTCTGCAAGCGTCGTCTGGTCTGGGCAGGTCGCAAGCAAAATCTACCAATACAAAAATAATAGAAGAGCTAATCCAAACGCCCGAGCCTATCCTCTAATACAGTAAAATTTAATACTGGATATAACGTGCCCTTTTGATTTTTGATAATAATATAATCACTATATCCGGTGCATCACTATAGCCGATTTGCATGTGTGACTGACACATGGCACATGACTGCGCATGAAATGATGCGTACACGCTGGAAAAAGCATGAAAAGCAGCCACGTGTATATGTGGCTGCTTACAGCATACAGGGAAGAATTTTATCGCACTCGCGTCTGCTGCCAGGTGCATCCAGGCAACGCTGGATCAGTTTTGGAAGAAGTGAACTTTATTGGAAGAACACTTGTTTTGTGAGCCGATAATAGTGCGCATAGTGATGTTTTCGGTGTATTTTTTCTGATTTGATTTTGATTTTGACGAGTTCTATCATTATAGCCGGCATATCCTTACACCCGGTCACTTTATAAACCATACTCACTGTAGAGAATATCCAAACTATACCAGTAGTAGCCTTGCAATCACCGTACATGTATTTACTACAGAATTAAAATGATGGACTAGACTTACTCGATATGATTCCGACGGTGCAGGTCAACTTTGACAGGTGAACCCACAGCTAAAATGATTGGTATACACTTCAGCGTCTGTGGATCCATCGAGCATTGGAATTGGCAATCCTGCGACTCAACAACATTCATTATAGTGACGCTCTCTTCATCAGCAGCTGCCCGATCAAGGAAAGTAATTGCAGACGATGAAGTACTAATACTTGGGCACTTTCCCAGGATATTCGCTGCGCCGAATGAAACTCGACGAAAAAGGATTTCTGCTGGTTTCCAAGGATGTTCTTGTGTTGCTAATATTTTTGGATTGCCATTTTTCTCAACGTGAATTCCAGCAGAACATGCATGGGGACCGATGGTGTTTAGTACAAAAGTGCAGTCCGTAACGGCAACTCGCACTCTGGAAATGGTTATAATTGATATCGGAGTATTGAAGACGAAACTGTGTGCAATGATTGAGCCGATCACTGTCACATCAATCACGTGGTCACCCCGCAGTTGTAGTAGATCATTTGTCCACACCTTAATCATATTGTCGGAGGAGCAATTTGTGAAAGTGGAATTTGAAATCGTGATGTTGGTGGGCCAAGGACTTTCTGTATATATATCAAGTACAGCTTTGGTATGAATTGTGCGGGGACGCTTCATGTTGGTACTCATTTTCATGTTGCTCATTCGGCAGTTATCAAATAGGGCAGTCAATTTAGTCCAAGCGTAAATTGCGACATGTACTGCCGATTTGGTATAGAAGGGCGGTTGTCCGGGTTCAGCTGTGCGCGTGGTGAATGAACAATTTAGCACACGAAACAACAGGGTCTGACTGTATGTAGGATTTCTTTCAGTTGCACCATAGTCGTAGATGTCCAATCCCCCTTGTATGGAATACAGTCTGGAATACAGCAGAAACTCACAGGATATAAACTCGATCTCGTACGCACGCCGCACCCTCACCGATATGAGGAATCCAGACTCGGTCACTTCCACACGAGTACTGTTAAATATTATTATAGATGAGAAGTGCAGCGTACGCGCGAAGTCCATTTCTATATCAATGAAGCCACCTCGAAGTGTCGTCATGTTGCAGCCAAGATTGTCGAGGGTCGATATCTTGAGACTTCTAACACAATCGCTCTTGAGTAGCAGTAGGGACCTTCCTAGCTCCAATGTGCACCCAGTCTCCCTCGTTGGAACCAGATATATCTGAACGTTAACAGATTTCTCCAGCATACAGGTACCTGTATGTGTGTAGTTGGCTGAGTACGCGCCAACTCTCCGGAGAACCTGTATCCAGGCATCATGTACGGTCAGGCATGGTCGCAAAAGGTCAGCACCACATGGCTCTGTAGGTGTAGTAACTGAAATTCCGCTTCTGTTGGAAACAAACACTGTGAACGTATTGTATGAGGGGACTACACCTTGGTCCTGGTGAACTTGAGATGATGTGGCTGGCAACACAGCTGAGTCAGCCGACGGAGAGAGCCGCTCGCCATCGCTGAACACAGAAGTTGCCACCAAAAGCAACACTGCGAATATTTTTCCAGGAGATGCAGGCATGGTTAGGACTACCATCCCTGCATTGTAAATCACGGAAATGCAGAAACATAAGTAAGAATTTTATCCTTTTAACTCCCTCAACCTTATGAATATCCTTTCAGGTGCACTTTCTGAAGCCGAACAAACACATGAAACGAATAGCATGAACGTAGCAACCATGGCAATCTTCAAAAGGCATAACAAAAGACGAGTTGTTATAATTTCTAGAGACTAAAAATTGCAAATAACCCTAAAGTCTAATAGAATGTGACCTACATGACTCAGACCAGGGGATTTCCCTACAGGTGCTCTGACCACCAAGCTATGCTGCAATGGTCAGCCAAAAGTGTGCAGCCACGTTTCTCTCTAATATACCCATCGAAAACTCTTTGAAGTAGATAGAAATGTCTACGCCCATAGTTCATTACGTAAGCTGTTCCCAGGGTGTTGCAAACTCGTGGTAGCTTTACGCGAATTTATTTGACACACGTCCGCCGCTAGTATGGCACGAGGAACAAAAACAATTTTCCTTTCGACGAACTTGCTAAGAAAACACCACGGCGCATGCATCAGTTTCTGCCCGAGTACAGTGGTGAACTATGTGCTCAGGGAGAACTTCAATCTAGCAGATGAGATATCGTACTAGATCAGAGTTCGTACACGTCTCAATAGTCATTGGTCAAATATCCACACCCTGCTACTACATATATCTGTTTCTCGCTATTCCATACCTCACAACGACTTGTTATGCTTCCTGGGCCCAGCAACTCAAACATTATTGGTGCCACAAAAGGGACGCAATAAACGTATTGAAGTGACGCTCCGCATCCAGCGTAACATTTATGTCATTTGACCCTAAAAGCATCGCGAGTTTGAGTCAACCATGGAATATTGAGAAACAGATTAGGCAAGAGTGTGGATATTCGACTAATTACTATTGAGTCCGTTGGGAGTTCCGATCTAATACGATATCTTCGGGCTGGTAATAATCAAACTAGTTCCACGTGTAAATGCATAGGCCTTGCTATAGCCAATACTAAACAACTTGGGAATGGTGCCGTTATTATTTCAATCTTACCTTGCGCTTGATACCGACCCGTCAGGAGCAATACTCTTGCCGTTTCGTTCTGTGATATCCTAATTATATCCTCTCATCGTCTTGTGGTGGATTTACTGTGTTCCAACTCGGATTGCAATCTTTCGACACAGCTAGTCCCTTGCAGGCTCCATCAATTCTCGACGCTCATCTCGAGCTCTGAAGCCTTGCGAATCTGTTCCTTCGTCTGCGCTGTAGCAAGCTTCGGCATTTTCTGACGTTGATGGTGCAGTATGTGGATCTCTGATAGCAAATTGATCACATGACAACGTATATCCATCTCAGCGGACAATGGGTGTGATCGGCCGCTTCATGCTTGGATAACTCAACTAATTACTTCCTTAAATACAATGAGCGCGTACTATGATTATTTATCGCTGTTCTCACACTTTACCATTTTAGCAGCTTGCATATGCCATTGATATATGTGGAAAGCGCGCACTTGCGCCATTTCTGGTGTATAAGAATGATCATTCCTCCATTATCATCATTATCATCCTCTTCTGATGAGCTCCGACAGGGAGCGAAACAGCTGTCTAGAGGCGTGGAGCAATATTATCTCTCAACGGAAGTGTCCTTGCTGGTGTCTGTATGGTTCGGCTGAAGAGCGCGTGGTTGTGATGAGTTGGGAATGCAATAAATACATACAGTGTATTTTATAAATACATACAGAGCACAATACCCATGAGCCACATTGTATAAATTATAATATAATTATCATAATTATATCATCGTTCAAGCTCAATTTTTCCGTGTCATAGTGCTGTTTATCATGTTCAGCATAAGCGAAGTTGTGAATCATGCTTGCATGGTTGACTCCAACACGTCCATGCAAGTAATTATAATAATAACACAGTGCACGTTCTGAATTTGATGGTGCAATGTGTGCATTTCTGATAGCAAATACATGACATGACACGGTATATCAATCTCAGCGGGCAATGGGTTTGACTGGTCGATTCAAGCGTGAATACCCTAACTAGTTGCTACTCAAAATCAATCTTTCGACACAACAGTCACAAGTACCATGCAGGTACTATCAAGTCTCGATGCTCATCTTCAGGTCTGAAGCCTTGCGGATTTGTTTCTTTGTCTGGGCGGAAGCAAGCTTCCGCACGTTCTGACGTTGACGGTGCAGTGTGTGCATCTCTGATAGCAAATACATGACATGACAGGGTATATGAATCTCATCGGGCAATGGGTGTGACCGGCCGCTTCAAGCTTGGTTGACCCTACAAATTACTTCCTGCAATACATACAGAGTAATAAAGCCTCGAACCTCAAAGCTCATGATTTGCACAGAGTAGATTCATTGACGCATGACCCTTATTATAATATTATGGCCAGGCTGACAACAGATGTTATCCAGATTTTCCCAAAGGACAGTGTTTGCATTCAGGAAACCGTACTTAACTGATGCTTTCTCAGTTGAAACAAATATCGGCGATTGACCTCGATCAAATCCCTTTCACACACTGCACAAGTGATAACACGAAGATCAGATACAGAAAATCTGGGACCTTATGTAATTGATGAAGGCCGAGAAGAAAGTGTTATTTTTCGTTGGCTGAGCGTAGCGAATGAAACGAAAGATGAATTTTTTGCCAGCATTTTCACCATAGTTACGGCACCAGGATTGCGTCAGCTATTTTTTGTCAGTTTTCTCAAACTTTTCTCTTCATCGTGGTCTTTCTCTTTTCGTTGTAGTTTCCCACCCGCCCTCCCATTTATTCTCACTTCGGGATAGGTCCTGCGGGCTACGTTTTGATTTTATCTTATTGGGTTATTCTAACCGGTTTTTCCTCAGGGTTGTGCCTCCGCCGGGGTCCTGAGGTTTTTTCCGCCAGCTTCGGGCTGGTTAATTATCCGGCGGCCCCATTCGCCATAGTGGCTCACTTCTTGCATCATGTTGGTCTGGTACATACGTGTACATGTATATGCGTGAGGTGGCATGCCCTTCTTCGTGCTCATCTATACACTACGCTCTTCCATCTTCCACCGTGAGTGAACAAAGACCACACTACTACACACAACTATCATCGTGAGTGAACAAAGACCACACTACTACTGTGATCTGTATCTTTCTGTTGTGTGTGGGTGTGTCTGCGGTGTACGCAGAGGCCAGCTAGCTGGCAAAAACTGTTGATTGCGAATACTTTTGTGCTTTGTAAAACCTGGAGCACTGGCACGGCTGTTTTTCTTCGCGAAATTTGGACATTTAACAAGATGGCAGCCAAAAGTCTCGATTGGGCTGGATCGGCAAGGAAATTTGAATTTTCAAATTCTCAGCAGCCGATTTCGCTGTGGTTTTCGCTCGATTTAGAAAGCTACCAGGCCAGGTTTACCCGGAAAACAGGTATTCCGTGTTCCTCTTGAAACTAGCTTTCCGCTGGTACCTCACATGGCCAACTTCGTCTCAGGAACAGTTTGTTCTGCGTTGCACAAGTCAAGCCTTCTTTCTCGCTCGTTCCTTGATTCATCGTTGACATGCCTGCGTCAAGAAGCCCTTTCAGGAGTTTTCCCAGTCTAGCTTTCAGTTTTCCCAGGTAGAGGACTATCTTCTGGCTATCTTCACCAAGTTTTATCACGTCCCGTGCACAAACTTCAGGTCCCGTGCGTTCGATGCTGAGCTACCTTTTCATGCGATTTAGGGGACAGATGGCATGGCGCTGGAGTCGCCGTTGAGTCCAGGAGGCCGAGGCCTGGTGGAAACTGCCCAGTAGACATGTGGGGTATTGCTGAAAAAGGCAGCAAGCACACAGATAGCCCCGAAATTGTGATGTAGATCCAATTGTGCGTTTGTTCGAGTGCATATCGGCAAATTTGAAAGTTGCACCCGTGATCCCGGCGAGGAGAAGCTGAAAATCAGTGCGTGCGTCAATATCCAGACTACCAGGGACAGCTTGGAGAGGTTCGAAAAGGTCAGGATGCTGGTTGACCACGGCAGGAGTTCCTTTTACCTTCCTTCTCTCTCAAATTGTCTGGATATTGAGTATCTCGCTCGAGCGCTTTCAAATAATAAATCCTGGTTTGACTTGCGAAATCGTGGAACCACACGGAGAGTGACATGAGTTTCATCCCAAAACGCGAACTCCCATCGTATTCATGAGGTTTGTACCGCGTTACGTAAATCGCACCGAACGACTCCATATTGTTAGATGTCCGTGCGCGAACAGCCGTGCTGGAGCTATCAATCAACAAAAACGACATAAAAAAACCCGTGGCCGTCCGCCATTGCGGTGAATAGATACGATTCGGCACGACCTGAAGGCAGCGGATCTCTCCGTGGAGAGCGCTCTCCAAGTTGCAGGAGATAGACTAACTTGGCACTGTTGACAGATGCGTCGACTCTGCTCCTGCCTAACAGGTTCAGGGAAGATGCGAGCTGTGTTTATTATTATTATTATTTGTAAAACCTCTGATACATGTACATAATAATTGGATTTCAAGATTCAATAATCATGAACAAATCATTCGTCACCGGGAGTATGAGTGCTCAATGAAACTGTCATGACATATTTGGACACTATGGGTCTCACATAAGCGTAAGGGTCGTATGTGACCCTTACAGTAAAATCGCATTTTCTGTGAGTTGTGTTGCTAGGAGACAACTAAAATGGTGCTCCACTCGTAGCTGAGGTCCAAAGCGTTCCAACGGTGGTAAAAACAACAATACTTACCATACACATTTTGCAGTATCGATCGACTGAAGTCTGGTGAAATTGGAAAGGACGACCATCCGCCATGCGCGCATTTCGAGAATGGCAGTGCATCTCTTGAAGCCGTGTCAGAAAAGCTTTCTGAGGACACTGACGGCACCAGTCTAGGCTGGATGTCCCTAGAGGATTTCCAGTGTAATGTCGTGAGAAAGAGAGTTCCGTTGAGTCCTCCTAGCTCAAATAAATCGTCCCCGAATGAAGAAATCAAATTTACCAACC